ATGAACTCATGAACCGAGGACCTACGGCTTTACTTCCCTTCTGAAGGAAGGCGTGCTCAGAGATTTTATGCCTCAGAAAATCCGGGCAGCGCCTACTGGGATTGAACCCAGGATTTTGCAGTGAGAGGCAATCACGCTTACCACTACACCACCGGCGCCACTGAAGCGACTGAAGTTGTTGGTGGCTATTTCCACCAACTCAATCCCACTTTTTGATGATCATCATTAATGGCACTTTCTGAGACTGACAGTAAGTTGCCTCTTAAGACTACAAAAGTTTGATCAAGATTAATAAATAAACAATAAACGCGGCGCTTGAATGTTGTGCTTGAATTTGTGATTTCCTTGTTCGTGTTATATCTTGAAATTCTTGCCATCTAGAAAGTTTCTGTCTTCAGCGAAGTTATTCAATGGACCAAGAGCTAATGATAAGTATATAGAATTTCGGAATTTTCTCACTACGCGGCGCTAGTGTGCCTTTATTTGTGAATTCCTTGTTTAGGTGATATTTTGAAATCCTTGTCATCTAGAAAACTGTTGTCTAGGGCAAAGTTGTTCATTGAATCAAGACCTAATGATTGGTGACCAAACGTTTGGAATTCTCTTACTACGCGGCGCTAGTGTGCATGAAGTTATATCTTGAAATCCTTGCCATCTAGAAAGTTGCTGGCTTCGGGGAAGCTGTTTAGTGGATCAAGACCTAATAGTTGGTGAACAAAAGTTTGGAATTTTCTCACTACGCGGCACTAGTGTGCTTGAATTTGTGATTTCCTTGAACAACTTTGTCGAAGACAGCAACTTTCTAGATCGAAAGAATATCAAGATGTGATATAAACAAGGGAATCAAAATTCAAGCAGACTAGCACCATAGAGGTAACTCTAAGACTAGTAGGTCCCGAAGAAACGTGCTCAGCTTTTTGGCTCAGCTCTGGTACTCTCTTCGGTCCCAAGCTAATTGATGCACCCCTCGAAACATGGGAAAATCCAATAACCCCTCATTTTATCTGTCGAACTTTCATAACGAATCAAAACAAACATTGTGTAGTACTAGAATTTTGACTAGAATGGGGTACGTTGATCGATTTGCTTGGGACCAATAGGCTAGTCAAGTAGTGAGCCAATTTAAAATCGTTAGTTTCGTATTGATTGTTGCTAGCACCACGTTGTGGTAAATTCCGAAGTTCTGTCCACCAACCATTAGGTCTTGATCTAATGATCAACTTTGCCAAAGACAGCAACTTCCTAGATGGCAAGGATTTGGATGGCTTGGACGCCACGTAGTTGGAAAATTCCGAATTTCTGTCCATTAACGATAAGGTTTTGGTCCACTGTAAAAGTTTGCCCAAGACAACAACTTTCTAGATGGCAAGGATTTCAAGATATGACACAAACAAATAACCAAAAATTCAAGTACACTAGCACCGCGTAGAGAGAAAATTACAAACTTCTGTCCACAACCATTAGGACTCGATCCACTGAACAACTTCGCACAAGACAGCAACTTTCTAGATGGCAAGGATTTCTAGATTTCACGTAAAATATGAAATCATCAATACATTTACACTAGCGCCACTTTGTGAGAGAATACTGATGTTCTGTCTACCAACCGTTAGGTCGTGATCCACTAAACAAATTTGCCCAAAGCAGCGATCTCCTAAATGGAAAGGATTTTAAGATATCGACAAAAACAAGTACATCACTATTACATGCACACTAGTGCCACGTAGTGAGAAAAAAATCCTATTTTCTGTCCATTAATTATGAGGTCTAGGTCCACTGAAAAACTTTGCCCAAGACAGCAACTTCCTAGATAGCAAAAATTTCAAGATATCACATAAACAAGGAAATAACAAATACATGCATACTAGCACCGGGTAGTGAGAAAATTCCAAACTTATGTACATTAAACATTAGGTCTTGATCTACTGAACAACTTTGCCCAAGACAGGAACTTCCTAGATGACAAGGATTTCAACATATTGCTTTAAAAAGGAAATCACAAATTCATGCACACTAGCACCGCGTAGTGAGAAAATTCCGAACTTTTTTAAACCAACGATAAGGTTTGGATCCAATGAACAATTTCGCCGAAGAATGCAACTTCCTAGATGATAAGGATTTCAAAATATGAAAAACAAGAAGGGCATCATTACTTCATGCACACTAGCGCCGCATAGTGAGAAAATTCCGAATTTCTGTCCACCAACAATAAGGTCTTGATCCACTGAACAACTTCACCGAAGAAAGCAACCTCCTAGATGGCAGGAAATCAGTAATTCAAGCAAACTAGCGCCGCGTAGTGAGAAAATTTCGAATTTCTGTCCATCAATCTTTAGGTCTTGATCTACTGAACAACTTTTCCCAGGACAGTAACCTTCTATATGTCCAGGATCGCGAGATACTTCATGTTGGTCCCTATTAGGTCAAATCCCATATGCTATCGCACTAACATTATTTTACAGAAATCTGTGAAATTTTACCGAAATCTCAACAGCTGAACGTTCGGTAAACAGTTTGGTGGTTTTTCAGTTTTCCTGTAATTGTCAACGAATATCTGTGAAAAATTACAGAAAATCTGTGAAAAATCACCGAACTGTTTACCGAACGTTTAGCTGTTGAGATTTCGGTAAAATTTCACAGATTTCGATAAAATAATCTTAGTGTGACGTGTACTCCATTTACGCGAATTCGATTTATTCGATAAGTGTATTCTGAAACTGGTTTTATACCATTTCCCCTTCTTTGAAAGCTGCACGTTCTTTAAAATTGGGTTTTTATTGATTATCATCATTCCTTTATTTAACGTCGGTCACTGTTTCGCAATCTAGTGCCAATCACCGACGGACATCGACTGCCATTTTTTTTTTAATTCTTTATTAAAGAGATTTCTAGCCTTAGGCTAGTTCATCTCTATCACATCGACTGCCATCCATTGACGTCAATCGAATGTGCAGGAAGGCAGCTCCACACCTGCGTAGGATATCGCACCCATTCAACACACATGGGTCGGGACCTGTCGGTTTTGTTCCCTTCCAATAGAAGACGTGACCAAAGATTTTTATACCTCAGAATAATCCCATCGACCACGGCTGGGATTGAACCCAGACCCATTGGGGTGAGAGATCAGTCACGCTTACCACTAGCGCCACTGGCGCCATTACGACAAAAGGGTTTCATTGATTTTCTTGCAATAAAAATTATTATCTGTTCAACATACCGTTATTCTAAAGTTTAAGTTGAGAATTATTTGAAATACTATAATTGAAATTGGCACTTAAGACTATGAGTTTAAAAATGTACACTTCGGGCTTTGGAAAACTTGTGAGTTTGAGGATTTGAAAAATTGATAAGAAATCGATATATAATTTGTTTTAGATTTTTCCTTCTTTTATACATGATCAGTTCTTTCTAATTATTCTGAAAAACTAAGATGAGATATAAGAATCTCATATCTTTCATAGGTTATTCCTTCTTCCATACGTTAGTAGTACTTTAATATATAAAATATGCATTCAATTACCGTGCCGATTCAAATTTCGGACACTTAAACTCGAATTTCGGACACTTTTTAAAGTTGATTATCTCGGTCGAATATGATCCACATGTCTTGTAAATTTTAAATTTTTTTGACTAGTGCCCTCCACGATCATCTAACATTATTACTTTGTTTCTAACTGGATGTAATATTTAATTAAAAATGAAAGTGTCCGAAATTTGAATCGTCCGAAATTTGAATCGGAACGGTACCTCTTCTTCATATATATTAAACACATCCTCAAAAAAAAATAGTGTTCACTCGGCTGTCGACAAAAGCAGGCCACTCTCGATGTGTGCCACGCGATCGTCTGTTTTCTCGGCAGCAACCATTGTTCTTCATTAGCAGTTCTTTCGGTCGATGCGTCGTCGACTTTGGAAAGCAACCGTTTCGTGATGAGTGTTTGAGTGCTGACCACGTTTTGCGTCCATTGCTGCAATGGACGCGCTCTGACCCTCGTTGGCGTAACCGCCATACAATGAAACTACTAGAAGCGGCTCCAGTTATGATAGAGGAGGCTTTTTGGATAGCAGAAGATAAAGTGTTTATCGTGTTCTGTTGACTATAGTATTAAGATGTATTGTATAGAGACCAAGAATCCTCGGCTCTGTAAAGTTAATTCATTTGAGCCTTATCAAATAAATTAATGAAAACAAAAAATCAGTTGTTGAATTTTGAAATTTTGTCCTTTAGACTTTTTGTATTAGATTCCAAGGTATGAATGTGATTTGTTTTTAACAATTTGATGCTAATAACATGAGATTTTTCACAACAGGTCAAATCCTTAGGGACGTCGTAGCAACAAAAGTAATTAAGATGAACTGTTGATTTGGATTTGGATTCATTATTTTGCACTTCAAATGTTCCCAATCTACAACTGATGCTTTACATGTTTCAATATGATGGTAAATTTCGAAACTAATTTATAGTCTTCTCTACCTCTCAAGCAGTAGACATGTTCCAAGAACTATCTCTGGATAATCCTACATGAACCTTCGGTTCAGTAGACCCCTCACCCGAACATTCCAACTGATTTCCCCTGTTCATATTAAAATGAGAATTCAATTTTCTTTCCTGTTATCGATCGATAGAACCAATTTCACCATAGTAGTAATGCAGCAAAAACCACTTACTTGCTTTCTGAATAATCACATCTTCCACTTGCTGTTCCTCCCTGCAACAAGACAAACTATTCCCCATGCTCTGTCCTATGCTCCAGCACCGTAACTTCCTGTGCTTCGCATCGATAAGAAGTTCACTCGAGCAAGTTCTCGGAAAGTCCCACCCGCATAACGTACCTCCCAGGGCCAAGGCACACCCGAAAAAGTCGGAAAACACTTCGGTAGGTATTACTTGCATGGGAAGCTGGAAGACCCGTGTTGCATTGCTCGAATAGTTAGTAGTGGTCCAGGGAAGGGAGTCATAAATATTGTTTGTTAATTAAAATCTAGGAGAGATAACTTACCACTAATTACATGTGCATACACACTGGATGATATGGCCATTGTCGGCACACACGTGTAGTTGCCGGTGTCGCTCTGCACCGCTCGCCTTATCTTTAACCTGCTTTTCGGAATACCCAGGATCAGCCCAGGGTTGGAGGACGTCGGATTGTTGTTATTATTATTATTATTAGTATTATTCACGTTTCAGCAAATTTCCATTTCCCAGACGCAGCAGACGACCAGTTCCGGATCCCGTGCCGTCGGTCGTCGGGTTGGCAGGATGTTAGACAATACCATTTCGGAAAATTATAGAGAGAAGAAGATGTATGCATACGGGATGAGACATATAAATAGAAGAAGAAAAAGAACAAAATGCTACATTAGAAAGCGACAACGGTCGGAATGAACAATTCGAATAAGAAACCCACCAAACCAACCACCACGACCAAGTGGTGTCGTCGGGGGTGTCGAACACGCTTTGCATACGAACAACGTACAATTTTTGCAGTCCGCAGCGAAAGGAAACGATGCTTGCTTGCATTATGAACGGAAATGTTACTCTGCGTGGTGAGTGGGGGTGTTCCTTTGCATTGGGTTTCCTTTTTGTTTTAAAGAAGAGGCGAGCTCTGTGTGTGTGTGGGTGTGAGAGTGTGTTGGATCCGGAGGGTTGGTGACGGAAGAAGAACTCTATCCTTTTCGGCGACGTCGATGAGGACGCCGAGAAGTTGAATTCGTAGGATGTTTCTCATTTCGTTTAGTGCTTTCGGATACAGCCGTGCTGAGTTGGGATTTTGAATGTTTTATGAGTTACAGAATGAGGTTGGTGAGTTTTATTGAAATGGATATGCGGAATTGGACGCACTAGATGATTCAATGGTCGGAGGTGGTAAATTATGATTTTATCTAACGAAATTTAATCTGTGTAGTTTGTTGGTGGGTTGGTTTTAAGTTAAATTGGATTCAACTGATGGAGTGTAATAAACAATATTTGCAAGAAAATAAGTCTAAACTGTATCTCTATATCAGGACGATGGTGAACACATACACAATTATATCAATTTAGGAAGAAATACACTTCTAGGCTTCTTCATTGAACCCTTACAAGATATTTACAAGACGTTCAACGATATCGTCAACTGATTTGATTTCAACAGCTCTGCAACTACGCTGCAAATCCATCTCAATAATAATTAACGACAATGGATTGAACAGAAATGCAATTGTCACCTTACATTGTTTTTATTGATTTACTTACTTTCATTTTCCAGTAATGTTTCATTTATTTTGTTTATACCATGCAATACTTTAATTGCATATAATGCCTTAATTGCATGGTAAAATGTTTTGTGAAAATATATGGGATTTTCACTCCATTTTGAATGAATTGTGCTCAAGTATAACTCAAAAAGGCTTTTCTCCATCCCATATGTCATTGAAACTCAAAATAAGATGGAATTATAATGAATAAATTAATTAATATATACCACGATTAGAAGTAACTCAATAGAATTTGTTTGGTAAAAATATGTTATAGCAGAATGCCATTTGGACTGGGTTATCATTGACCACCAAATATAAACCTTAAGAAAATCTATGAGTATTGTTTGAAAAGCTTCAAATTATTGAAACTCGCGCCGAAAAGTTTTATATGATCTACAAAGTAAACATTGAGCAACTAAGGGACGCCGGTGTTGGCCAGGAGTACGCGCAGAACCTGAAAGCTGCACTACCTACGGAAGAGCAGCTTTGCGCAGCTACTCTTGAAGATGACTGGCGGGACAACCGTTCCGTCATAGACGAATTTCACGCTAACTCGACAAATGGTTCGCAGCACCCTCTCAGATGTCAATGAAACTTTGTAAGTGTATAGATTTCGTCTACTTAAGCAACTTTGCCTACTCATTTTCTTAAAAAAAATCTAGACCAACATTTGGAAAGGGCAGAACTTTTTTGTCATCATTTTCTTCAAAAAATTATAACTCAATAATGTCAAGTCCTACAAAATTTTCCCAAAGGATAATTTGTAGAGAAATAAATGAGCTTTTGAAAAAAAAAATAAAAAAAAATCTAAGTCTTTTTTATACACTATTTGAAGAAAGTGGTAAAGAAGATGTAATTTTTCAACAGTGGCTAACTACGGATCGTTGTAACTTGGAGAACATTATGAAACCTGCAGATGAGTTTGCCACGTACTTTCGTAGATAAAATTGATAAGTTAATCACTCATGACTTTATTTGTAAAGAACAGTCTTTATTTCTAAGGAACAGATTGTACCGTGGCGGGCGTCGGCACCGAATGTTTAGGCAACGGAATGTTTTTGGCGCACCTTAACCATAGAAGGCAGTGGTCCGAATCGATGTTTGCACCGCGATAGGTCCTGACGTCGATAATGTCCGAGAAGTGCCTTCCGTCGATCAAAATGCGGTCGATTTGCGATTCTGTCTGCTGCGGTGATCTCCAGGTGTACCGATATGGGAGGCTTTGCTAGAAGTAGATACTACGTATTGCCATGTTCTTAGAGGCGGCGAAATCGATGAGTCTGAGACCGTTGACGTTTGGTGCGCTGAACTAACAGTTAGCGCTCAACTTCCGAGCCGAGCAGTCGATGTTTTTGGACAACCAAGTTCTGGAAGTCGTTCACGGACTATTGTACGTTTTTGTATCGATTATTTTCTACCGTCGCTTCAAGTATCGCGTTCGCGTTCGCCGCGACGTCATATTCCGCGATGCCGCGCCGCAAAAATACGTTTCGCGTTGACTATTCGCAGTTTCCGAAGATCCTCTCTCATGACGAGATTCATAAGTTCGTCGGGAAAGAACTCGGTCTAACGCGCGAAAACGTGCTTCTACTCCAACCAAGCAGACGGCTTGGATGTACCTTCGTGAAGGTCAACAACCTCGAACTTGCCGAGAAGATCGTGGAGCAACACGATAGCAAGCACGAGTTCGTGTTTGATGGCAAGTCCTACAAACTACGGATTACGATGGAGGACGGTGCGGTGGAGGTAAAGTTGCTCGAACTACCCGAAAGCATCACCAACGACCAGATCGCAGTTTTCCTCGCCGACTACGGAGAAGTTATTAGTGTTCGTGACCTAATGTGGGATGACCGATACAGTGATTTTGGTGGTGTTAATACCGGTGTTCGTGTTGCTCGAATGGTAGTAACGAAGAACATTCCTTCACTCGTGACAATCCAGGGCGAAGAAACTGCGGTGGGATACAAGGGGCAGCGGCAAACCTGCTTGCACTGCCATGAATTTGCACACATCGGCATCCCATGTGTTCAAAACAAAAAACTGCTAGTGCAGAAGCTCGTAGCAGATCAATCCTACGCTAACGTAACGAAGGGAAAACCGTCCAAACCTCAACCGATGAAACAGCTATCGGATCCACGAAAACCATCATCGAACTCGACTTCAGGAACTTCGGGTTTGAAGGCAAGTCTCCTTGGAGCAAGTGAGACACGAGTTGCAGCAGCACAGCGGAAAAACACAATGCCGCCACCGGCTGCACCATCTACAGCAAAACCCTCTGCAATGCAAGCTGTTGTCCAACTCTCGCCGCTGTCAATCCCGATCGGTACATCCGTATCTCATCGGAGGACCGATGGCAACGACACGGACAGCTCACAAACATCTCTTGCTTCGAACAACAGCCGACGCACGCGTAGGCAACCACCGGGTAAGAAAATGCGACACTCCGGAGATGATATCACCTCCGAACACGAACACATCAGAGTTTCCGATGAAGAAATGCAGCAATAATGGAGTACGTCAGCTGTAATATCGGAACCATAAATATAAGCACCATCACCAACCAAACCAAGCTAAATGCCCTCTGTACGTTCGTTCGCACAATGGAGCTAGACATTGTGTTTCTGCAGGAGGTTGAAAATGAACAGCTTGCATTACCCGGCTATATCGTTGTCTGCAATGTCGACCATGCGAGAAGAGGAACGGCAATTGCTCTAAAAGAACATATTAAATTCTCCCACGTAGAGAAGAGCCTGGACGGGAGATTGCTCGCCCTTCGTGTTCACAACACTACGTTTTGTAATGTGTATGCTCCATCGGGTTCCGTGCTTCGTTCCGAACGAGAGCGGTTTTTTAACAACACCATCGCGTATTATCTTCGTCATCGCACCGATCACATCATCCTTGGAGGCGACTTCAACTGCGTGATTCGACAATGCGATGCGACGGGGCACAACTCGAGTCCCGCTCTTCAAGCCACCGTTCAGCAGCTACATTTGCATGACGTGTGGCAGCAGCTCCGTCCACGAGAGATGGAATACACTTACATCACACACAACTCCTCGTCCAGGCTCGATCGGCTATATGTAAGCGCCGGTCTCCGAGAACAGCTGAGATCAACAGCTGTCCATGTGTGCTGCTTCTCGGACCACAAAGCCGTCACCGTGAGAATTTGCCTTCCTCTCCCCGACAGAGCACATGGTCGTGGTTTCTGGGCGCTTCGTCCCCACCTCCTGACCACAGAAAATATAGACGAGTTTCAAATACGGTGGCAATATGGGACTCGTCAACGCCGAAATTATTCGTCGTGGATGGAATGGTGGCTGTCGTGCGCAAAGCCTAAAATAAAGTCCTTCTTCTGTTGGAAGTCAAAAATAGCATTCGACGAATTCAATCGTGAACAGCAACGGCTCCACGATCTACTACGGCATGCGTACGATGGCTACCAAAACAACCGTGCCATGCTCACCACCATCAACCGGGTAAAAGCCGAAATGCTTTCAAATCAACGAAGTTTCTCCGAAATGTTTGTGCGGACAAACGAAACCTACGTTGCTGGTGAGCCGTTGTCGACCTACCAGCTAGGCGAGAGACGGCGCCGAAGGACCACCATCGAGCAACTGCGAAACGAGAGAGACGAGATCATCGGTGATTCTGCTGCGATACAGGATCATATGGTCCAATTCTTCTCCGATCTATACGCACGCGGTCATGTGGACGAAGAAGAAGAACAAGATGGACCCTTTCAGTGCGAGAGAGTCATCCCCGAGCACGATGCCGTAAACGAAGACTGCATGAATGAGGTAACAACGGCTGAAATACTTTCTGCCATCCGCACAAGCGCATCCAGAAAATCACCAG